CCATTTGTTGAACACATTGTCTTTTTCCTACTGGATATTCATTCCTGCTTTGTTGAAGATTAATTCAGTATATAATTATGGATTTATTTCTGGGTTTTCTATTCAGTTTCATTTGTCCAAGTGTCTATTTTTGTGCCAGTACCTTACTGTCTTGATCACTATAGCTTTGTAATATAACTTGAAGTCTGGAATTGTGATGCTTCCAGCTTTGCTTTTCTCTTTCAAGACTGATTTGACTATTCAGGTTCTTTTGTAGTTCCATACAAACTTTAGGATTGTTTGTTCTAGGTCTGTAAAAAATGTTGGTATTTTGATGGGGATTGCATTGAGTGTGTAGATTGCTTTGGGTTGTGTAGACATTTTAACAATATTTGCTCTTCTAGTCCATGAACATGGATGTCTTTCCATTTCTTTGTGTCATCTTCCATTTCTTTTTCATCAGGGTTTTATAGTTTCAGAGTACAGATCTTTCACCTCTCTGATTAGGTTTATTCTTAGGTATTTTATTATTTTTAGTGCAATAGTAAATGGGTTGTTTTCTTAATTTCTCTTTCTGCTGTTTCATTATTAATATATAGAAAGGGATCAAATTTCTATACATTGATTTTGTATCCTACAGCTTTTCTGAATTCATTCTAGTTCTAGCAGGTTTCAGTGGAATCTTTTGGGTTTTCTATATAGAATATTATGTCATCTGTAAATAGTAAAAGGTTTACCTCTTCCTTACTGATTTGGATGCCTTTTATTTCTTTTTGTTGTCTGATTGCAGTGGCTCGGACTTCCAGTACTATCTCGAATAAAAATGGTAGAGTAGACATCCTTGTCTTGTTCCTTAGGGGAAAAGCTGTTTTTCCCCTTTAAGGATGATGTTAGTTGTGTGTTTTTCATGTATGGCCTTTTTTTATGTTGAGGTATGTCCCCTCAAAACTTACTTTGTTGAGAGCTTTTATTATGAATTGATGTTATATTTTGCCAAATGCTTTTTTGGCATCTGTTGAAATGATCATATGGTTCTTATCCTTTTTTTTTATTGATGTGGTTTGATTGATGTGATATATCACATTGATTGGTTTGTTAATATTGAACCATCCTTGGACTCCAGGAATAAATCACTGTGCATAAGACTGATGTGGTGAATAATTTTTTAATGTTTTGTTAGATTTGGTTTGCTAGTATTTGTTATGGATTTTTGCATCTATATTCATCAGAAATATTTACCTACAGTTCCCTTTTCTTGTTTCTTTATCTGGTTTTGGTATCAGGGTAGTGCTGCCTCATAGAATGAATTTGGAGTTTTCCTTCTTTTTCTATCTTTTTGGAATAGTTTAAGAAGATTGCTTCTCGGACTTCAGGCTAAGATCAAGTGTGGAATAGTTTGAGAAGAATACGTATTAACTCTTCTTTAAATGTTTGGTAGAATTCACTTGTGAACTCATCTGGTCCTGGACTTTTGTTTGTTGGGAGGTGTTTGATTACGGATTCCTTTTTTTTT